GGCAAGGTGCATTGCAGCTGGCATTCAGAGTTAAAGAGCTACGTGAGATGCTGGCCCTTCCGGACTGTCGCATTGTGTAACCTGCCACATTTTGAGGCTGTCCTTTCTCTCGTGCCAAGTGAGTGTATAGTAATGGGTTTACACACAGTGTGTCATAGTACAGGAAGCTTTTGTGTATTGGCTCTGTCATTTGAGTCTGTAAGCTGTTGTAGCCTACTTTGAACCATAACAAGTGAAATTAGATATCAGGCTCTCATGGAGATAAATAAAGAAGTTTGCTATCTTCTGGAGTGTTGCATCGTGTAGTCTGGTAGAAATTCACTGAAGTTTCAGAGGCGGTAAGCACCTTTGATATTTTAATCAATTAATACCAGATACATGGTGAAACATCCGTAAGCTTCAATAACTCATGCCGCAATAAGACTGCGAACATATAGTAGAATCATCATCAGAACTGTGGTCCTTTTCTGGTTCTAATTTGGCGTACTTAAATTTTTCCATGTCCTCCTGTTTGTTGTTCTCAGAGTTTCTGGCTTCTTTGCCTGAAAACGAATATTCTGATAATATTTCTTGCTTGGCAGCTCATATCTTAAAGTGAAATGTTTTAATGCAAAAATCAAAACCCAAAGCAGGGAGAAATTTCCCCCCAACAAGTGCCCTTAATCATGTGCTGAATAAAACAATCTAGTGACGAAAAGCAACCTAAGAAATATGTTTACCTGTGGTATTCTTTGTTGTGTGTCATATAGCATGTTCATCTACCGACACCTTTACAACTTTGTGTTATTCTGATGTAGTGTCTAGATGGTAGGAGAAGCACATCGCCATCTGTGATTTTGTAATTAGCATTATTTATTGACACTTTCTTACTCTGTGCTGAGAATACTTTGGACTTGAAGGGATGCTATTTGTGTTTGGAATGAATAGGTTTAAATAAGATAAGTAATTTGGTTTTAAATGTTCTCCTACATTGACTGTTGGTGTGTCATGGCTTGTTTCTTTTAATGTTCCTTGTTTGGGTTCAGATTTGCAATAAATTAGTTGCTTCAAATAAGATTATTATAGGTTATCAGTTACTTTGAATTCGTACTGCAGTCTCTCGTTCATTCGATAAAAATTACTTTGGTGAAGTTTGTTTGATACTGATGCTCTTCTTACATATATGTGGATGAAGTGCCCCTCTCATCGTTCCAGTCACCACTTGTCATTATTTCCTCGCCAATTGAACTCTGCTTAATGAGAGCCATTTTATAGGAGTTATGATAATGCAGTTAGAAAGGAAAGTTGAAGAGGCACTAGATGAGTATCATTTTGGTTTTAGAAAAAGTATGGGTACTCGAGAGGCAATTGTGACTTTATGTTTAATAATAGAAGGACGGATTAAGTAAAATTAAGATACAATTATGGCATTTGTAGACTTGGAGAAGGCTTTTAACAACATAAAGTGGAATAAGATGTTTGAAATCTTGAGGAAGGTAGGGCTGAAGTATAAAGATAGACGAGTTATTTACAATATTTACAGTGTCCAGATGAAAGGTATCCAAAATAAAAAAAAATTATATCTGGGAAACTAATTGTCAAACACGTATCCAGTTTATGTCATCAGAAAGGAAAACTCTGAAAGTTTTTTCATGCGTGGCTTACATGCATGCGCCAGCTGGTGACCTTCGGCGAGCTCAGTAACAATATGAACACCACAGGAACAGGCTCTAGGAGGTTTGTCCCATGGGGAACCAGGCCTGGTCACTCACATTTCTATTAACCTGGTTGCAGCATGAGTGCATGAATTACCTGTCATTACTAAACATGTAGTTCAACAAAATGATGGGGAAAATTGTCACTTAACAATGGCCATGGATCTCATTGGAACATAAATGTACCCCAAAGAGTACACTATTCCAAGCTTGCTTTTAAGCTTGCTAGTAAAGATAAATAGTAGCTTATCAGTACATAGTGTGGTAATATCTCAAAGTCATGGGTGGCAGTTATGATCCATATTCTAAAATGGCTGCAGATTAACTTGTCAGAATTTCCTGAACCCATGGGAGTGACACGCAATTTCATCTTGCCTAAAATTTAAACACCTCGCCTGTGATGTGGTATAAACTTACACAGTTTTTAAAAATGAAATGAGAACCAAATCCTTTAACAATATATACAGAATTCCTAGATCAATTTACAGTTGTGCTAAAAGTCTGACATTCATACTATTCTAAAGAACAAGGTTTGATTCCTGGCAAAGGCAGGAAATTTTCCTTTTCTCATCACATCCAGGCTGACCCTGAAGTCCATTTAGCCTCCTATGGAATCGATTAGTATCTTATGCTCCTTCCCATGTGGTCAGAGCATAAAGCTGTACCTCCATCCCCCATATGTCATCGTGTGGTGATTAACCTTTTATGTGTCGTTCTGAAAGAGGGGTTTAAACCCTGTACATGGTGGCTGCTTGACGGTCTTTAACTCTGGGATTTATGATTTACTAGTGTTTTATTGCAATACATGGTCAGCTGGGCAGAACGTAAGCCTGGACACAATTGATGAAGGTTGCTTAAGAATGAGGACAGCTTTGCCATTTATTTACATTAACATTACTTTGTGCTGCCACAGCTCTGAATTTGGGGACTGTTAGGATCTACAATGCTTTTTTGTCTCTGTCTTGTATCATGTCCCTGAAAGTCTGCTTATGCTTTGGGTTTTTTCAAAAATTGACGTTATTTACACTTCAGGAGATTCATAATGTAGTAGGGTTTGTCGGTTTTTAAAAACCGGTTTTTTGGATAAATTAGTAAAATTCGAAAACAGGTTTTTAAAATTTAAAAAACCGGTTTTAGATACTAGAATTAATATGTAAAAATTAATTAATTAAAAACGTTAACATTTTGACCTGAAATCGCTTCGGGCACAAGCATATTGTAGTAAAACTAATCTTCATGAGTCAGGCTGAAATTAGTTCCAAATTATTAAATGGTTTAGAAGTATGAATTCAAGAAAGAAGACAAGTTGGATTGGTAACCCTTTTGCTATATTTACAAAATCCACAAAACATTTCAACAAAGAAATCAATTTTATTTCCACTAGCTTCAATACTCGATATTATTAAGTTATCTGGAAAAATATTGTCTAGAATATATCCAAATTCTTGTATGGAAACAGATTCCGATGATGAATATATCGGAAATGGAGAAACCATTAATCAGGACAATGCTCTAAAAGAAGCCATGGAAAAATGAATTCATAGGTTTCTTGAGGAACCTGAAGAAATAATATCAAATCCGAAGACACTGAAGGCCGAATTTTCAGTATTTGAGGCAACCAATAAAAGAACAAACAATTTAGATTTATTATTTAATGCCCTGAAAATGATAAAACCAAGTTCAGTAGCCAGTGAGAGAATATTTTCTATTTCAGGCAATTTTGTATCTAGAATAAGAACAAGATTAAGTAATCATTCAGTGGACATGTTATGTTTTTTGAAATCATATTTCCTGAAGAAAAATACTAAATGAAATAAAAATTTATAATTTATATTTTGTTCGGATTTTAGTTTTCACTTATTTGGTTTTGTATGGAGTATATTTTACTTTATTATATTTTTGTAGTTCCATAAATATTAAATAAACTGAATAATTTTGAAATAAGTATAAATATTTTTTACTGTTTTAATTACCTCTTTTCCACAATCTGAATGATTCTGATTTTAGCAGAATTTATTTTCACGGTTCTTTCCCGTCCCATAAATTGAATTCCCTTTAACCATCGAGGGATTGTTATCCTTTAATTTATTGTTTGCATAAGCGTTTGTTAACTTCCATCTTGCTAGCTTAATGATGTATCTTGTCTTTTACTATTTATCTTGCTGTTACACTTTCTCTCTCTTCTGTTTCAAATTATGTCACCTTAACAAACATTTCACCCTTCTTTTCCTCTTTCTTTCTTCAGTCGTGTCCAGTTACCTGTTCATATGCCCATGTCCCAGTGAATTTAATTTTTTTCTAATTAACACCTTGAGACACATTTTCATAAAAATATTAATGTCTGTAAACATTTTGTCACTTTAAGTGTTCATTCACTGTGATAACAATATGAAAACTTATCTGAATTTTTGTGCTTAAAGAACAATCTTGAATTGATGACAAAAAAATCGTAAACCACTATCTGCCATATATGTGACTCCAATGATGGATTCTTTCATTCTTCTTGTAAGACAACAGAATCCCCTTTGTGTGTATGTGTATACTGGAATATTGCTGTAAGGACTTTCCAGTGCATCAGGGTTTCTTTACTGCTGTGCCAGAATTATCTCAGAAAAGTTTTCTGTTGTCACTGCACTCCCCTTCAAGTGTTCATCTCTTGCAGCTGAAGGATCAGGTGCAAAAATGTGATGGGTCCAGGTTTGACTGAAATTGTTTCTTTGTGCATAAAAAGATCACTCGTGTATGGGTGGAAGAATACCATGACTTTAATAATTATTTTCATTAATATGTGAAAATGAATGCCTTATTGAGGTATAAGTAAGAGTTTAATTCTTAAACATCCTTTTTGTAGTGTTTCAAAATCTGTTAAAGAGAAATCACATTCTTCTTGTACTGGATCCTTTTAGTAATGATATTGTATGACTTATGTTTTGACTCCTACAAAACCTTTTTTTAATATTAAATATATCACCAAATGTTATTTTTATCATCTTCATATCTTGAGAATACTGGCAGAAATATATTCTTGGTATCGCATGTTGAGACAAAATTATTTTAATATTAACATTGTTTACTACTTTACAT